ATATATATATATATATATATATATATATATATATACACGCACAGTTTCCGCTCAAACATCCTGCGAATGGCTCGTAAAGCCTTATATATTTCTTGTTATAAATAAATATATATATACAATTACACGTATATATCCGGCTCGTATCGACCTTACTCGTTAGATTGTATATTGTATTTTGTTTGCTTCTCTAACCTCGTCATTCAACAACTCGAGAAAAAATGGAAAACCATGTGTGATCATGTGGGATTATACATGAAGGAGGGGGGGGATCGGGTATGGTTTTATATCACGATCATATAAGATTTTATACAAATGTCGGATGTGTGTGATTTCACGTGATCGTGTAAAATCAAATTTTGGCGCGATCTGTGATTTTATAATGGATCATATATAAATATAGAAAATCTGTGTATATGTGATCATATGTAAAATTAGATTCAGAATTTGGCGCGATCTCTGTGATCACTTGATATATAAATCTTATATATGATCACATGTTTCTGTTTTTTTTTCTCGGGAATCGACTTAAAACAAAACGAAAATGTTTACTCGCGCGTATATATGTGGAATTGCACGTACACACGAAAATTCCGAGGTTTTCTGAAAAAAAAAAAAAAGAGTTAATAAACACGCTACTACCGCGAAGAGCGTCAAGAAAACTCGAAGCCGCGTTATCCGGATTTATCTGTGTGTAACGCGTAAGGAAGAAATAAACACGACATCGTCAAGAAGACGCGCGCTCGGGTGGTTCACAGGATGTGTCCTTCCTCCCGAGCGCACTTGAACAACGACGCATTCAGCGCGGGATTTCCAACAGTTTACCGGAACGAGTAAACCGCGCGCTCTCTCTCTCTCTCTTTTTCTCCTTAGGAACGTTGGTCTCTCTTCATTTTCTCACAATTGCCGGATAACGAACGAAGAGAATCTTTATACACGCGGAGGAGATGTCTCTCTTGTTAAAATATCAAGTTGAGAGACTCTACGTATACTGGGGTGGGGATATTCGTTTAAAATTAGATAAAACAGAGATTTGGAGCAAACCGGAGTCGTTAGTGATTTGAGTTCGAAAATGCATTTCTCAAGTAAGTAAACTATATTCCACACGCTTACAATAAGTTTTTTTGGTTTTTTTGTTTTGTTTTGTTTTGTTTTTTTTTTTTTTTTTACATTTGTGTTTCATTGTATAATTATCTTGTTATGTATAATTTGTGTAATTACGATCAAATTTTTCGTATAACTACAAGTTTTATACGGCACGTCTCTACACATGTTCACACGACGGTAGAATGTGTTCAAGTGCACACATATAAAATTTTCTTTTATACATATAACTTAAACACGCGGAATTAAAAAAAAAAAAAAAAAATCACGCGACTTATCGAACAAAAAGAAAACACGCGAAAAATCAAATAAAAAGTTCTAACGAAAAGTGAAACGACTATTCTACCGCGTGCGACAAAAAAAACAGATAACATTGCAATAACAGATCGATATACGTTAATAAAAAGTCATTTGTGGTTTATTTTATTCTTAGTCCGAGTTTACACTCCAGTAATTTGTTTTTTTTTTTTTTTTTTTTTTTTTTTGTCCCTAAAAATCACGCAAAATTCTTCTTGCTCATTCGGATATATTACACAAACAAATAACTCGTCATGGAAGAGCAAGAGAGGGGAATCGGAGATTAGCGAATATATCAATAATTAATACATGTGTTAATTAAGGAAGAAACGTTGTGGGTCGTTTTATACGTGGAAGAAGTGTATGTTTCTTCGTTAAGAAAAAAAAAAAAAAAAAAAAAAAAACAAGCAAGCGACCTTGCAAATTATACTAATTATCGCGACGAGAGAAACATATCATTTCGAAATTCGCAAAAGAGTTATATATGTGACAGTCATAGTGTTACATAGAACAGCCAACAAAATTACACTATCTCTCTAATATAACGAATACAAATTCAATTATTCGTTCGAGTTTTCGATCACTCGCGTTGAGATGTTATAATTTTTTTGTTTTTTTTTTTTTTTCATAACGTCTTCTGTCTTTGTATTTACAAAACAAACTTTTTGTTTTCGATAAACGATATGTCTGAGACTATTGTGTGACACAATTTGATTCAATTACTACGGCAATGTCGGATTCAGATTTTTGTTGGCACGACGTTGAATACAACTGACATTTATGCATTTCGATCCAAAAGAGATTCTCTATCAAGAATAATAATAACATATTACCGTGTAACATGCACAGTTATGCGTTTCTTCTTCGAACACATCGAATACAATAGATCTCAAAATTGTTAAAAAAAAAAAAAAAAAAAAAAAAGGATTCAACGGAAGATTATTTCTCAGCACCATGAGAGAAGAACAATCTCTAATTTCGCTATTTCCTACAAATCAAGCTACGAGAGTGCAAAGTCCAGTATAAAAAAAGGACCGAAGATCTATTTACTATACAATTATATGTTCTTTCTTCATCTTGCACACGTATCCCGTATTATCTGAATTAAAAGAGAGAAACTATCGACTCGGTTTTTTCTTTTTTTTTTTTTTTCTCATCATTAATGACCAGCGAATCGAATCCGTGGTTAATAATGCGGCAATCAGAATGATTATAATGTATTTTACAATGGACCTCGATATAAAAATCTACCAAACTATCCACAGCTTACTGGCAAAGAGTTTTGAACTTGCTCGTGTGTGACACAGTTCAAACAGGATAGATTACGATAAGTGGTATGTGTACGTTGTTTCCTTCCCGTGTCGTTTTTTTTTTTTTTGCAGTGCAAGCAGCTTGATTCCAACCCGAGTTTTATTCCGTGGCTATGCTCCTCAGCACGTATTTCACAGTGTACGCGAACGCTGCAAAACCTATGATAACTACCAAATTGGCCAGTGCGCTCTGCAATGGGCTCTGATCTCTCTGTAGCTGATCTCGTATTAATGAAGACACTTCGGACGCGGTGGATTGATGCCTTTGTTTCTCAAGTTCTTTCCGACGTTCCAATTCAATTTTGATCGTCTACAATTCCAAATAGTTATTTGTGTGTTATAATGTCATTATATTATTCACAATTATATTACATTATAATGTCATTATATTATTCATAATTATATTAAATTATTATCGTGTTAGAATTTTCATCTTCCAAATTTTGGAATGTGTTCCAAAAAGAAAATCCATCATTAAAAAATGTTCCAATAGTTTCGATAGACAACTTTTACATACTGTATTATTGTAATTTGTTTTTCTAATAACAGACATATACGAATTTGTGTTGCGATAAAACAATACCTCAACAGTATCTGGGAACAGCTCGCAAAACATCTTATCCTTCAGATTATATTCTAAGCTCTGTGCGGCTAGTTGTCTCTTTTCATAATCCGTTGTACTCATACTACCAAGTGTAGGACTATTCTCAAGCTGCGAATAAAATTCATTTTAATTTAAATTAATTGCAACAAAAATATTGTACAATATTTTATCACTATTATAAAACGCAGAATATTCATCTTAGGATGAAATAATTACCATAAAACTGAGCAAGCCTGTAAGAATAGTTGACACACTCCACGCCGGATTCCACGTATCAGGGTGGTAATCAGATATGGACAGACATAATCTCATATTGACTTTAAATCGGCCATTTGGAGTGGTCATGTAAATGCTAGGTGGTTGAAATGGAAATTCCATTGGGAATACAAGCTTTCCATGATAAAAACCACCCTCGTATGGAGTTTTTTCTGGCCCTATAACCACATAATGCCTGAAACAAGTAGAATACGTGCCAATTTGTTTATTATTAAATCTAAAATAAAATATCAACGTGTCATCCAAATGTCAGATACAATCCAAAACTTGCCATTCTAGTATATCCGAGGGGTCTGGTTCAGCAAGAACATACGGTACCGGATCCTTTTTAAGACGTACGTAATCTTGTCTTAACCTGGCCGTAGCACTGTTGGCTTTTCCGTTCATTCTTACCATGGGAACAAGTGTTACTTTCAAATACACAGTGTTTCAATCTCTTCTCTCTACTCTTATCTTAGGATATTCTTCTGTTTGTCTGACGAATCGAGCCTCAACGGTTCGTCACAATTTTTATCGATTACGATTTTACGAAACAGGATCTCGTTTGCGAAATAGCGTTCTTTCTCGCAGTCTCAACAACAAGTCACACAATGTTCACGCATGGCGCGAATCCACGTGGAATCATCCGCGACAACTTCCTGTTTGTTATTCGAATAGACGATTAACTCGCTGACACTCTGCAAGTAAATACGAGACGGAATATTACGTGTGACAATAGGTTAGGTTGAGTTGCGCGCGATGATAACAAATCGCGTACTGATCAAACAGCGTAAAAATATTTGACCGAGTCGTGCGATTCAAGGTTCTGGATCTCAGGTAACGATTTGGACGACGGAGGTACCTGGCAGGATGCGTTTTGGCAAAAATACTCGCGAACACCGCAAAAACGCAAAACACAAACTTTGACACTTTGACAGAGGTGGGCGACGAGACTGTACAAAAGCAACGGAAAACATATGACTGAAGCAAAGTGACAGTGAGACTTAAAAGGCTTTTTATGAGGGCTCCTATGCTCCGCCCATACGCCCAATCATGGTGAATTAATTCAGTGTCACCACTTTGTAAAAAAGAATACACTATAGGTCGGTTTCATCGTTTCCGAATGTTTCGAATCAAATTGACCAATCCCCACCGCACGTTTCAGCGAAATCACTCAATCACTTTATTGACGCTTAAAAACCAGTTTCGTCATCTTTGTATCGGTCAAAAACGCAATTAATTCGATATTATAAAAACTATGATTGACTAATGACGAGTAATGTGATTTTAAAAGATTTGTTAAAATCACATTACTCGTAATTAGTCAATCATAGTTTTTATAATATCGAATTATAATATATATTATATTATATTATATTATATTATATATATATATAATACACATATAATATACATATAGTATATATATATTATATTATATTATATATAGTATATACATTTTATATATTATATATAATATTATTTATAATATTATAGTGTTTTAGCCAAGACTCGAACCACTTGTGGTTTGAATTCTCGCTATTTAAAGTGTTTTAGCCAAGACTCAAACCGCTTGTGGTTTGAATTCTCGCTATTTGAAGTGTTTTAGCCAAGACTCGAACCACTCGTGGTTTGAATCTTCGCTAAGTAGAAGTGTTTTAGCCAAGACTCAAACCACTCGTGGTTTAAGTCTTTGGTAAAACACTTTAAATAGCGGGGACTCAAACCACGAGTGGTTCGAGTCTTGACTAAAACACTCTACTTAGCGAGGATTCAAACCACGAGTGGTTTGAGTCTTAGCTAAAACACTCTACTTAGCGAAGATTCAAACCACGAGTGGTTCGAGTCTTGGCTAAAACACTTTAAATAGCGAGGATTCGAACCACGAGTGGTTTGAGTCTTGGCTAAAATATATATTAGCGTCAATTCCGCTTTATATAGCGCGTTAACTCTAATTGTGCTCCAAGCCAGTGTTTTTCGCAGTGAAGTGAACGGAGCTTAAAACTCGTGACAGTCTCTACCTCCCATCGTATAATCGTCATCTGGATCTACTTCATATATGTCACAGTGAGAGCGGACTACGACGCGCTGCGCGATTGTTGATAGTTCACTTTAAATGTCACACGGTGAATCCAGTTGATGCTGTCTTCTTCTTGGATTAACGACGACGTTCCGTTTCGCCAGATTGCCATTCGCTATCTGTACCAATATTCGGACACAATGAGCTCGTCGATATCCATGAGCAACACCGGATCACCGGCCACTGCTACGGGTATGGAGACCGTGGTGGCTGTTGCTCTGGGCGCGCTCGCCGCTGTATTTCTCGGCGCGCTTCTGGTACTCCTTGTGATATGTCGCAGACAACGTTGCTATTACGTATGTTATGACAGCCGTGTGGTTTACAGTAGAAGCGCTAAAAGGCTTTGCAATAAAAGAGGAAACATAATCTCGTTTCTTTTCAGAACCAGAAGGATTCGGCAGAGTTGAGTTCCGATCTGCTCGAGGGAGAGAATATCACTGGCTTGGGATTGGATGTGTGGGAGAGCGAAGAGTGGTTGGCGGGTGCTGAAAGGTAATGAAGCTCTTGTAAATAATGATTAAATGTTATTGAAGCGAGAGATATAGATTTTGCATAAACTTTCGCGTCAAAAAGTAGTAGTATACGTTACAGTATATGTATGTAAACAATTTTATATAGAAATATTTTGTACTTCCAGATGGGTGGACGATGCTACCGGCTTGGCTCCGCCTTGTATAGCAGTACTCCGATCTTGCCACGCTCTTGCTGCCAGTCTCACCACCATCGCTGGGACTGTCAACAGCAACACTGTCCCATTAGAGATAGTAGACGTACGTGCAGTTTTGCTGTTCCGTCTCGTATCTACTGCAAATTGTTGAATTTTACATTGTTACACAGGTCGCTCGGCGTATACCGCCCCGCGTAGATGACGTTGTCCGCAGCTTGTATCCGCCACTGGACGCCAGGCTTCTGGAAGCCAGAGTGGCGGCTCTGGTGTTGGCTGTGACCCACTTGGCTCTGGTAACAAAACACGGAGTGCCAAAGAGCCAGGCCAGAAAACTAGCATTCATCGATCAAGCTTTAAACGACATGGACACGCATTTGCTGGTGTTGAGAAATGCGGCGTTGGCTCAAGAAGTGGTCTGCTCCATCCCGGCCTCCACGCCGGTTTAAAATATTCATTGTTAGATCTCTTGAAGGAATCTCTCTCTCGAATGTTTCGCACAGTATTTTGTAATTTTCGAAACATTTTGTTCATAAATTTTATTCTGGTAAAATCGTTATGCGAAAAATGAGCGAAGAAAGCCGTACGGAATATACAAGTCGATAGACTCGCAACAAATTGTAACATGTATATACTATATAGAGAATATTTCTCGCGCTGCTTTTCGAGCGACAAATACTCAATTACGGATCAATCACTGATCTCAAGGCATAAAACTCAAAATGAACAAAACTCCAAGTTGCTGGTAAAAAATTGTCAATATTTATATATATATATATATATATAGAGTATATATATAGTTGTTTATTTTGAGTTTTATACAAACGTCAATTATATTATTATATTATTATAAAAAATGCATATATATATTAAATACACGCAGCGTACGGAAGTATCATGAGGAATATATATATATATATATATATATATCTTTCTTGCATATCTTCGTATGATAGTTTTAAATCTTTCGATGAAAATCTGCTAAGAGTCGTTAGTTCTTGTTTACAATACACAGAAATATATGTGGAAATGTGCTGTCTTCCATTGTTATAATAGGTATTTATATATACGTACACAGATAAAAATTGTATTTGTGTGGAACTATATATATATATAATCGTACCTGCGTTTGTACACAATATTTTATATATTCTTGTGAGAATCAAACTATTTTATATATTAAGTATTTGTAATAAAGTTGACCGTAAAAGAGAAATTTTTATTCTTGGTTTTCGTCGTTTACTTTCATATTTCAAGCAAACTTTTATTAATATTTACTTGATCGTTTTTTTTTTTTTTTTNTTTTNTTTTTTTTTTTTTTTTTTTGTCTAAATGTATGTTCTAGAGAATTCTACCACGATAATTAATTTGCGCTATAACCGTTATTAGGTTTTGTTAACTAGAGAGGATCAATTTCGTCATAATGGCGTCAATAAATTAACTAAGTAATCTGACTGTATCACCCAAGATACGTTACAGAAAACGGCGCACGTTCAGTAACAATTAGCGTGTTATACAATTCATAAAACAATTGCTATAAATGAGAAAGATATTACATTATATAAGAAGGATAATGCAAATCACACAATCAGAACACTACCCACATTATTTGCCCCGATTTGTGAAGTCCTTTTGCCTTTTCTGATTGTCAGACAAGACCTTGTCCTTGAGATGCTCCTTGTAATCCAATATGTTGCCGCTCCACTTTGTCACCGTTCCGTTTTCGCACACCCAGATTTCTTCGGCAACCTAAGTTTCGAACGCAATGAGAATACATCAAATTTTTTAAATTGTTTCTTTTTAAACGTATGAAGATGCTGTATGCAGAAATATATGTACTTGATTGATCAATCTGAAGTCGTGCGATACAAGGACCATGCCGCCTTCGAAGTCGTTAATGGCGTCAGCAAGTGCGTCGATCGTTTCCATGTCCAAGTGATTGGTAGGCTCGTCGAGCAGCAAGAGGTGAGGCACTTGCCAAGCTAACCAAGCGAAAACAACTCGACAACGTTGACCGTCCGATAGTTGACGAATAGGACAGATCTAAATAAAGTTAACGCTTAAAACATCGCTACATGTATACAATATCTTTGCTAAAAGTGAAAAAATACTGATATACCTGTTGACGTCCGGTTAAGCCGTAACGGCCAATAATTTTTCTCATTTCTTCGCGCTCTTTGACGTCGGGAAAAGCTTTCATCATGTAATCGAGAGGCGACACATCCAAGTCCAATAATTCGTGTAAATGTTGATGATATCTGCCAATTCGTAAATGACTATTCTTGCGAATCATTCCGCTTGTCGGCACCAACTGTAAACGGCAAACGTTTGCTTCGTTAGAAAAAACACCATCAGAAACCCGCGACATTTATCGTTTAAAATGCAAGTTTCAACAACATACATCACCATACAACAGTTTCAACAGAGTACTCTTTCCCGCCCCATTCGGTCCGACCAACGCGATTCTTGTATCCAAGTCAATACCAAATTCCAGATTCTTATAAATCCACGGCAAGTCGTCGGTGTAACGAAAACTGACGTTCTGAACCATAATAACCGGCGGCGGAATTTTCCCGCACGAAGGGAAATAAAAGTTCAGCACTTTGTCGTTGACAACCTTTTCCGTCAAACCTTGCGCCATCATCTTCGCTAACGTCTTTTCCTTCGATTGAGCTTGTCTAGCTAATTTCGCCGATCCATGACCAAATCGTGCGATGTAGTTCTTCATGTGCGCGATTTGATCCTGTTCCCAGTTGTACTGTTTCGCCTGATTCTCAAGCAGCTCCATTCTGACAAAATCAATATACAAATTTTCAGACTTAAGCAACAACAACTGTCGTCATTTGTCGATTTTTCCTGTCTTTGGGTAAATCTCTCACCTTGTCTTCACAAACGCCTCGTAATTACCGGTGTAATACTTCAATTGCTTCTTATTGACGTGTATGATATTAGTGCAAATGCCATTGAGAAAATCTTGAGAGTGGGATATGATAACTAAAATTCGTTTATAAGTTTTGAGTTCTTCCTCCAGCCACACACAAGCGTCCAAGTCGAGATGATTGGTTGGCTCATCCAGCAACAACAGATGCGGCTTTACATACAAAGCTCTGCAATAAAAGAATTAAACATTTTAATTGCAAAAATTTTGCACACACGGTGGTATACAAAATTTTGGCGTAGAAATTTTTTCTAGAATTTTTCACACACACACACACACACACCTGGCAAGTGCTATTCGCATTCTCCAACCTCCCGAAAAGTCTTTGGTAGGCGTTGTTTGCATTTTTGCAGTAAAACCCAAACCGTGTAAAATATGAGCAGCACGAGCCTCCGCGGTGTCGGCAGACATATCTTCTAATCTCTCGTATACATCCATAAGTTGTTCCTAGATTTTATATACGAACGAAATAAACTTAATTTTTAAAGTAGACAAGTTTTTTTTTTGCGTTCAGCAAAAATCCGCACAAATTTATGACCTAACCTGAGCGTCTTCCTCGTCGCAATCCACCAACTCCTCGGCGAGTTTTTCTAATCGCACGCGTTCCTCATCAACTTCCATCACACATTCCAAAGCCGTCTTGTTGCTCGCAGGCATTTCTCTAGTCAAGTGAAATATATCTATTTGATCCGGAATAGGAACTTCACGATTTCCTAATACTGCTAACAGCGTAGACTTTCCTGAACCATTTAGACCTAATAAACCGTAACGTCTACCACAGTTCAATTCTAACATAGTATCTTGCAGCAATTCACAACCATGAAAGGTAATAGAAAAGTTAGATATCTTTATGTCACGGCTGCGCGGGTGAGAAGCCAACGATCCGGTGCAGGAGCGCGCTTCGGCATTTAGCCTTGCATCTGCTTCCAGTTTCAGACACAACGCCTCTGAAAACAAGTTCTTTATGTACACGATGACAAATAAAAAAACAAACATTTGATCAAACAACGTGACTTGCAAGAGCGAGTTTATGCAAATCTCAATAACATTTAAAACATATAATTGTAAACAAACAAATTGTAAACAAATGCAACATAAAAATACAACGAATTAAAAATATTGTCAAACGTTACAATCTTTCCTTTCTTAACGGTAACATCGGCATAAGTGCATGTTGCACTTTGATATGAAATTTTTATCGCTAGATTTGTTGCGCACACAAAGGAGAAAATCGTAACGTCCATTATTACTTTGTGCATAATTAAGTACCAAAAAGTACTCTCGAATGTACACGCGTTATTTTGCAACACAAAAGTTGCGCAAAACACAAGAAGCAAACAGATATAATAAGAGACATCCGTCATCAATTTCATCTACCTTCGGCGCTGATAGCCGTGCCGTTAGTGCCGTTCTGCAGGTCCCCCAACGTCGGGCTCTGCTCCTTACTGTCCTCGGAATTTTTCGTCTGATTATTGCTCTGAGGCTTCTTCCCGGACTGTCTCGCCTTGGCCGCCTCTTTCTTCTTCTGCTGCTGCTTCTTCTTCGCGTCGGACGGCATTGTCTCTCTCACCTGCAATTTCAACGCGGCCCGTTTTTTTTTTCGTCAACTTTTTCTTTCAGAATTCGGCGGAAACGTGCGACGGCGGTCCCGGAGAACTGGATCCCTCCCCCCTCCCTGTTTTCCAGCGATCGCGATGTTTTCGCGCGTTACGTAAGACGCAGGTTAGGAAATTTCGCGGGCACGTGTGCGTGACGAAAAGAAAACGCCGTGAGAACAGACAAAAAAAAAAAAATAAACGCTCGATTTCACTCCGATTTACCGTAAAAAAAAAACCCCGTCACCGCGTCGCGAGGTCGATTGTTGCCGCCGCCGCCGCCGCCGCCGCTTCTTACTCACCTCAACGGACAAAGGAAATTCCGATATCGTCGCGAATCGATGATTTTTCTTGACTTCGTCGCGAAACCGCGTCGTTTCCCCGCGCAATTTTTCTCGGCAAAGTTTTGAGATTTCGCAAATAGGAGGATATTCACGAATTGATCGAATAAATTTTGTGCCGAAACAACGCGATCGGTACGTGACACGCGGAGAGACCTCCACGTGCATCGAACAAAACCCGTCGAAACAAACCCGTCAAAAAATTGTCGTCCGTGTGTCGCATCTGACGCACAGATGACGCCACGTGTACCAAACAAACGTTACCGGCGCGCGGCTCTTTTTTGGGTAATTTCCATTTGAGGAACAAGTTCGGTCGGCGTTCCCCGCGTCAACACCGAGCGAATTGTTCACGAGGATGCGCCGTAGGATTTCTCGCAGATCCAAAACAGTGTAAATTTCGACCACAGACAATAAGCGCTATTGTCCGTATATACAAATTACATGAGAACGAAAACAAAGAAGGTAATGGAGAGCACTTATGTACAGACAAATCTATATATAAAAAAAAAAAAAAAAGATACAGACGTGACAATTTTTTTTATTACAAACGGAGAGAAAACAATAATTTTACTTTTTACACGTGTAGCGTATTTATTTTATCATTGCATCGATTTGTCTCATATTGCGACGCTGTCGGTTTCGAATACGCGAAAAATCGTTTTTTAATTGGATGTCCGGTGATTGTTGATTCGCCGCGCTCCGTAAAAACGCGATTTTCGATTTCCCGTTTCCTGCGGTTTCCGATTTCGCGCGTTGTGATCGAACGACATGCAAGGTGTGTTCTTTCTGATGAATGAACGAATGGATAAACGGCAGGGGGTGGTAAAAGAAGACACGGACTTGCGCCACCCTCCCCCCGCCCCGCAGAGAGAGCGCGCGGAGTCCGAAGTCTGTGCGGCCGATGGCCGCGGCGAGGGGGGAACCACCCCCTACCACGGTGGTGAGAGCTTAATTGCACCGCATCACAGAACGTAGTATTCCCGTACTACTACGTGTGCTGATGGAGACGTGGCGTAGTCGCAGCCGCCGCCGCATCGGCCGCCGGCGTTCGGAACGCCGCGCGGATCGTCGTCGCGCACCTACGCGGCGGCGGATCAGTGACGTATCTGTTCTACTGCGCGCGGTGATCGTGCAGATCCGACGCGAATGAATCCGCTGATCACGTCACACGATCTCTTCGCTTGGATTTAAAAAAAATTAAAAAAATGCAAACCAGATAGAAAACACAAAGGAAGAGACTTGTATCGCGCGAATTCGGTATATATATGTATACACAAGTAATTATATATTGTGTACATTATGTTGTAAAGTATATTAAAATAATAGAGATGTGGTTAAAACAAATATCGAATATAAAATACTAAAAATATTTATTTTACGCGCGTGTTGAATATATTTGTTTAGATAGTTAGATTTTATATATATTTTATATATTATTAGATATTTTAAAAATATTAGATATTTATACATTGAAGATATTTATATATTGAAAAATAGTTTTATACCGTTTATATACATTTTTATTTATCAATTTTCATTGTCTCTCGATATCTGTAACAATTTTGAAGAAATCTTCAACAGATTCACTTTGCATGCGGAATGTTCATGCACGCAGCTAAAGCTCGCGTGTCAACCACCGTAACCTTTGGTATAATGCATCTGAGAGAGCTTGCAGGTGGACAAGGTCGCAACCAAGAGAAAGGGATTGAAAAAAAAAAAGAAAAAAAAAAGTGTGAATGCCACTCGCCGCTCATTCAAATGTCGGTCAATCACAGCGTCACACAGTTCTCAGCGTAACACGTACACGGTTTTGTTCTCAAATAAAATGTCACATTGTTCAAAAGAAAACTTCTGGTCCAAGACACACGCGCATCTGTTGACACGTTAAATCACCATACAATCGTTATATCGATCGTTATAAGAATTATGCTGATTGATTTAAATTAGATGCGTGTCCTATTTCATTTAAATAAAAATACGATTGTGTAAATATGTAATACGCAATATACGTAAAATATATTATAGAAAATTGCGATTATCTGTACAATCAAAGATATCCATTTCTAGATTAAAATTCGCAATTTGTACCTAATGTCCCGTATATATTCTTGTCGTTTTCGCCGCATGATGGATGTGTTGCGCGAGTGGGAGAGAGAGAGAAAGAGAGAAAGCCTCGCGCTCTGGGTTTAATCCATCGTCGATCGAGCTCGAAAATTTAATCCGCCGTTCGCTACGTTCCGTCCTAAAATTTATGAGCTGACAGATGGATTCCTGCTTGCCCGGCGAAGAATCGACGTGCGACGTCTTCCGTGCCGAGTGTTTTTGACACGAGCTGGTCGTTCCGATCGATCTCTCGGACTAGAATAGCCGAACCGGAAGTAGGACATTTAGGCTGATATCGGCAACGACAAGGACAAGAGAGAAAGAAAGAGAAAGAAGATCGAAGAATCGCCAAGTTGGCTGGATTTCTCAGCCGTTCGTCACTTTCAAGAGAGAGATAGAGAGAGAGAGAGAGAGAGAGAGAAAGAGAGTTAGCTTAAATCTCTCGAACGTACACTGTGCAAACTGTTTTTTTTTTCTTTTGAGCGAAAATATCAGGAGGAACGCACACACAGACGCGATTATAAAATAAATGATCCGAAAAAGACGATTTGATTAACTCTTTCGTTCCGTTAATTGGCAATGAATAATTTAATTAGGTATACAATACGAAACCGTTGAAAACAAACTTCATCAACTCGTGAATACAAATAAACTGTTCAATATACCTGTGAATTAATATAAGCCGGTCACTCGCTCAATGGCTGTTATTTCTCTCTGTATCGATCATCGACCGGCGTATACGATTGTGTGTACACCATAGCGAAATGTTATTGAAATTGTTTCACGGTTATCAAATGCAATATTAGCGCGACGCAATATATATATATATATATATATATAGCTCGATATAAATAAATAATACGTAATCGCAAAAATAAATAATATATATAATAGCGAAATGCAGTGACGCGTGCAATTATACAGCGGGACAAGCAAATTTCTTTTTTTGCAAATTAATTAGATCCTTATAAATCCCGAGAGAAAATAATTGCACAGCCACTTTTCGCCAGCTATGTTTCGCGAGAGAGAGAGAGAGAGAGAGAGAGAGAGTGTGTGTACATAACACGGCAGCTTGATTAACATGTCTATACCAGCTTTGCGCTCAAGTTTCGTATTGTTTTGCCGTGAAACTGATATACCTCTGAAACGCAAGTAAGTGTCATCGATCTTTTCGAGCGATTTCCCCGCGTTCTCATTACGGGACAACAGTTGTTGTGCGATTTTGATCGTTGTTTTGCGATTTTGATCCTTGTTTTGCGTTTTTGATCCTTGTTTTGCGTTTTTGAATCGAACGCGAACAAAAAACAAATACAAATAAATAAATAATTTTTGCAATTAGATCCAGAGAGAAAATCATTACAATATTGTGAGCGAGTTTATATATTTATATATTATAATTATATATTTACATGTATTTATATGACATTTAATACAATTACAATAGTATTTTGTATATTAACATTATTGTTTTGTGTAAATATTCGCGGAAGAGTAGACCAGAGAGAATTTGTACGGAATTACTTTACCTACTTTTTTTTTTGTTTCGGGAAACGTTTTTCGAAAAAAGTGTTTCGAAAGTGCGATCTCTTTTATGTTGCACAACTTTTTGGAGTTTGAATTTTAAGCGCTAGTCGCGAAGGAAAACGTCACTTTCGGCGAAAACTTTGTACACACCCGGAGTGTCGGATCTGTTCGACAGCCCCCTAAAGTTTTCTTGAGCATCCTTTCGTGAGCGGAGCGCGCGCGAATCTTCTTCTTTGGGAAAATGTTCCCGTAATCAGTATGCAATAATCGACATCGCGCTGTAATGCCTTTCCTCGACGAAGGCGACGAAAATATTAAGTCGACCCGCGTGGACGTAATAACGTGTGTTCCCTTTCGTTAAAGGTGCATCAAATTTTCTCTTGTTACTTGGAAGGGAAAATGCAAATTACATACGTCAGAGGAACTTTGTACAAAAGAACTTAGAATGTCTCTCTTAATGAACGATCATATATCCTCTTTTTTCCGTATATTATATTATTTGATCATTGAAACAATTATTATTAAACTTCTGTATTCTTCCTCGTGAAAACTTATAATAGTAGGGAAGTGGCCAATTCGAGACAGAATAATATATAAATTAATATATGTAACGTACATTATTGTAAAAAATTATTTTAAAAAATAATTACTAATTTTTAAAATTTATTTTAATAATAATTAATAGTAGAGGAAAGTGGACAATTCGAGGCAGAATAACCAGATGTTCTGTGTCAATAAACTTCTTTTTTTTTTTTTTAAATTTTTTTAACAAACGTTTCGACCCTAATTTGCGTTAGATTGTTTGATATAATCTATAATTAATATATGTGTAATTATTATACAGTACACTGAAGAAGACCCAAATTAGGGTCAAAACGTTTGTCAAAAAAATTTAAAAAAAAAAAGTTTATTGACACAGAACATCTGGTTATTCTGCCTCGAATTGTCCACTTTCCTCTACTATTAATTATTATTAAAATAAATTTTAAAAATTAGTAATTATTTTTTAAAATAATTTTTTACAATAATGTACGTTACATATATTAATTTTTTTATATAATAAATTACTTATGTTTTATAAATTTATTATAAATGAACACGAGAGAGAGCGTTGTCTCTGATAAAAATCCAAACCTAAAAATACTGATAATCTCGAGACGAACGAAAATTTTTTATTCGACTCTCGATCAAAAAGACATTTCGACCGGGGTGAAAAACTGTCAAGATCGCGCGACGTGCGTCTGTTCGCACGCTTATATATACTACTGCGCGCGCTACCAACCTCGCTCTCTAGCGATATCGTCATATAGTCTATCGTCGCCACCCTCGCTCGCGTTCTATCGCGTTCACTCGCTTGCGCGCTTGCGTGCGTGCCGCGGCTCCTCAACATGTCCGCGCGACGGCGGCAGAGCGTATAGTCGTGGTTATGCGGCGGGGCGCGTTACACCCCGCGAGCCGGCAGTTCTCAATTCCTTGACGCAGGGGCGGTTCGCAATTCCCGCGCGAAGCGCCCCGCGCTCTCTCTTTCTCATCCCGTCGTTTTCGCGTTCGT